CCATTCCTGGGCGAGATGCCTGATTGGAGGAATGCCAGCAGGGAACAGCTTGGAATGCTAAGCTTTGCTGCTATTTTGGCAGCATCGGCCACAGCCTCTTGTGCAAGTTTGCCTTCCTCCCCTCCCCAGAGCCCATATAAGCCCTTGCTATTGTGCAGCCTCAGAGAATTGCTATTTTAAAACCCTAGATACCCAAGTGCCCAAGAGTCTGACACAAGCCAGCCAGCTGTCACTCTCGAGTGGTCTGAAAGTCTGATACGGAATGTTTTTGCCCTAAGAGGGCTCAGGGTGGAAATCTAGGAGGCCAGTAGCAAAGGATGCCCAACACATGGCTTTGTTCTTCCTTTCACCCCCCCCCTCCACTCTTTACGTGGATCACCACCAACTCCCTGCTGCCTGCACAGCTGCTTCAGCCAATGGGGCCAAACAGCAGAATGGAGCTCAATGACCAGCCATGCTTAATGAGGCAAACAAAGTAGGAAAAGTGGTTTCACAAAAGTAGAAACCAATCCAGTGAGGTTTAGCCAATCTTCCCCAAGAGATTTGCTATGGGGAACTGTGCCAGAAAAATCTCAAGGGAGGTTGCTGCCATTCCCAATACAAAAGCCAGCTGGGCTGGCAGATTCATCTATATTCTACAGAGTTTATGAGGCAGAATCCTAAAGTGCAACCAAGTGCAAAGGTGCCTCGTTCGTTCGTTTAGTCGTTTAGTCGTGTCCGACTCTTTGTGACCCCATGGACCAGAGTACACCAGGCTCTCCTATCTTCCACTGCCTCCCGGAGTTGGGTCAGATTCATGTTGGTTGTGTGACGGTAGCGATGATGTCATCCGCCTGTCATTGCTGTGGCTGGAGTTCATCTGCCTATAGCATGACAGGAGGTGGGACTTCAGAGGGTGGAGCCATGGTATTTAAGGGGGGAGTGAATGAGGTAAGAGTCAGATAGGGTCTAAGATAGGGTTTAGATAGGGCTTGGATAGGGTCTGGTAGGGACTTAGGGAGTTAGGGCTTGTATATGTTATAAAGTACTGTGTTAGTGAAGGTCTGAGAGAGAGTGTGTATGAGGGGATACTTTATTATTACTGATTGTCTTTTTATTTTAGTTGATAAAGTGATTTACCATTCCTTCTGTTATCAATAAAATACAAGTTTTTATTTTAAAAATCATACATTTGTCTGAAGAGTCTTATGAAGGAGTAGTTGGTGGCAGCGTGATTATAGTGTGTATGTAAGAGTGACGTGACACCTCCTTTGTGACGTGTGAGGAGGCTGTAACAATAAAACTGGTGTCCAGTGGTTGGGATAAGAGTGTCCAGTAAAGCCTTGGCCAAAGTGACCAGAGCAAAAGGATTTCAGTTAGGGTCACCTGAAGTGTAAAGCGTGGGTAACTCTCTAGAATTTGACTCAAGGGGAGCAAATTTAGTGGAGAGGCGCTTAAACTTCAGAGTGGAAGAACTGATATATGAGCTCTGTGGTGTCCATTTTGTGAGGGAGAGTGGCCCAAAAGCAGAGGCTGTGGTGGTTTGGTCAGCATGTCCAGAGTTAGGAGAACTCTGTGGGGACACAGACCAAGGGCAGCAAAGCTGAGGGATCTCCATTGTAAACAGCAGAACCTAAGTGAGTGGGTAGAGCTGTAATACAAATTAAAGGGTGCCAAAGGCAGAAATATAAAATAAAGTATCCCCTCATACACACACTCTCTCAGACCTTCACTAACACAGTACTTTATAACATATACAAGCCCTAA